CATAAACAATGGTTAATAAGAACAATCAACTGTAGTTCCTGATTCATAAACAGTGGTCAATAAGAACAATCAACTGTATTCCTGATTCATAAACATTGGTTAATAAGAACAATCAACTAAAGTTCATAAACAATGGTCAATAAGAACAATCAACTGTAGTTCCTGATTCATAAACAATGGTTAATAAGAACAATCAACTGTAGTTCCTGATTCATAAACAGTGGTTAATAAGAACAATCAACTGTAATTCCTGATTCATAAACAGTGGTTAATAAGAACAATCAACTATAGTTCCTGATATTGACGAAAAAATGTTGTGCATATTTTTGTATAGGGGGCAGGAGAGTGCCCCGTTGATTGCGTAGCTGACATATGGCAATAGCCGGCATGTTATGCAAGCGAAATGGATTGGTTTGTTTGAATTTCGCGCAAAGCTACACGAGGGCTATCTGCGCTAGCCGTCCTTAATTTAGCAGTGAAATACTAGAGGGAAGGCAGCTAGTCAACACCACCGACTACAAACTCTTGGGCGACTCTTTTAGAAACGAAAAGTTCGAATTGACCGTAGCATTATAACGCCCCACAGCTGAAAGGGCCAGCATATGTGGTGATGGGATTCGAATCGCAACCCCAGATTGCGAGTTGAGCGCCCCATCCACTAGGCCATGGCAAGCCCAAATCATAAATAGAATTACAAGAACTAATCATTAAAAATTTAAGCTCTTTACCTTTAGTTCTATACTAGTGCCATCTGTGTCAAATAAACATATTATAGGATATCATACTATTTAATAATAGTTATTTCTAGAAGAACCAAACACTAAAAAATTGAGGTACTTCATTTGAAGACATATTTCACTTTTAGTTGTTTTCCCGAAAGGGAGCCGAAGTCTGCCTGGAAGGGCAACTTGTTTAAACCACTCGAACCACTATACAGTAGTGTGTTGTCTGTCACTCTGTCAGTAGATACTAAAATGACTTCACATAAGCGACGCTTAGCATTGCAGTTTGCACGTTTTGTGACGTCACTAAAACGTACGCATGCCATGAATTACGAAAAGAATTATACAGTCTGTAGGCTAAAACACAAATGAGATGCTTAAAAAGCAAGAAATAAAAATATTTGTTACTCTTAATTTTAGTTATATTTACTCTTGAAACAGAACATTTTCGGGGACCCTGCGCAGGTACACATAGTATACTAGAACCACCTGTGCTGTACTTTCAATCGTCACGAAGTATAAAAAAACGGTCACTAAAATACTGATAAAACAAACTAATTTACTAAATATGTTTTCATTTTTTAAACTAGCATGAGCAGGGCACAAAATTGCCTAATTATTAATTGCCTAATAATTAGTGTTTTCACAGAAGAAATATTTTATTTATGTTACAGAAACTTAAATGAGCGAAGCCTCATAACTTAAAAACGAGAGAGATTAGGTTCCACGCATTTATTAACGGAATTCTTTAGGAATTTGGTATTCCTTGTTCTTGTACGCGTGTTGAATACCCATGACAGCTGAAATAGTCGTATCATTTACACGTCGCGCCATCTACCTAATTTTGCGTGTAACGATAATTTGACTTCGCGTTCTAGCTGGTAATTAAGTCACGCAACGAACAAGTAATAATTTTGTGCTAATCAATATCGTTTTGAAACGAGTGCTAGACGAAACGCGAATAAATTTCAATCCAATGATTTAATAGGAAGTATGATTACTGTAAGAAAGGTGGAGCTCTGTCAAATATTTCAGGGTTTTGGCATCTGTTTAACTACGCCTGAGGGCCCGGCATGGCCAGGTGGTTAGGACGCTCGATTCACAATCTGCGGGTCGCGAGTTCGCATCCCCGTCCCACCAAACATGCTCGCCCT